TGATGTTCAGTGCCACGTCACAGCCGAAAACTTTACCCGGTAAGCGGGATAAAGTTTCTCCATATGAACAGAACAAAAGTATTTGGCTAGTCGAAAAGTTTTCTCGTTAACCGGGATAACTTTTGCCCATATGAACAGGCCCTTAGACCTAACGAAGATCAACTGCGGAAAATACAACTCTAAGCCATTGAACTATATAATAAACTGGAAGGCTAACTGCTCAGATGATGAAGGCCTATGATTTGATGAAGCCAAAATAGTTTTTCTGAGTTATGAGCAGAAATACGGCTTGACCCCAAACGTTGGGCTATATATCAAATTGAAGCTATTGAAAATTGCTATTCGGTGTGGAAATTTCAAGACTTCAGCGAAAAGAAAAATATTTAAAAAATACAAAAACAACTGCAAAATGGCAAATTATCGGCAATTATTTTGTAGTTTTTCAATATTTCACTTTTAGCTAAAGTCTTGAAATTTCTACACCAAATAGCGTTTTTCAATAGCTTCAATTTGATATATAGCCCAACGTTCTGTGTTGAGTATTTCTGCTCACAACTGAGAAAAACTAAAATGCACTGGCTTCAATTCCCCCCCCCCCTGAGTTAGCCTTCCAGTTTATTTATAGTTCAGTGCTCTAGGCCTTCTGGCAGGAATCGAACCTGCATGCGGCCCCGAGGGGCATTTCACTCCAAAAATCCCGTACACTTCGTAAAAAAATCCGGAAAAAATCCGAACAAATCCGGAAAATCCAACAGATTTTCTCTTCAAAAATCCGCTAAAAATCCGGGAAAAATCCGCTAAATCCGCTAAAAAATCCGCGGATTTTTAAAAATCCGAAAATCCCGTACGCTTCGTCAAAAAATCCGGAAAAAGTCCGAACAAATCCGCAAAATCCAAACAAATCCGGAAAATCCAACAGATTTTCTCTTCAAAAATCCGCTAAAAAATCCGGGAAAATCCGCTAAAAAATCCGCGGATTTTTAAAAATCCGAAAATCCCGTACGCTTTTTTGGAGTGAAATGCCCCTCGTGCGGCCCTGCGATTCTGGTGCAGCTCTCTAAGCCTCTAACCAACTGAGCTACAGAGTCCAGTTGTCAAACTCTAACCACAAGTTCCTGTATATATAGTGTGTGATGCCCGTATAAGGTATGGGTAAATATCGAGTTTTTGCATGGGGGCATCTCGCTCGGTAGCTCGATAAGTGTGACGTAATTTGAAACGCGTTCTCCTAAAAAAACCCCTCAGAGAACCCCTACTATACCCAGGTTCAGATTTTGACTTCCACTGCCACTACTGTAATATATCATTAACCAATCACATGCATTTAATCTACCCAATTAACCAATCAAATACGAGTTAAGTCTGTGAGAGGTAGGGGTAATGGTAGTCAAATTTGAACCACTCTAATATAAAAATAATACGAATAATAGAAGACCCAATATATTAAACGACCGGCCAACAGAATGAAAGGGACACTTTGATGGCATTTTTTGTTGCGAGCTGCCAACTGGCATTTTCTTATAGCTTATACAATGGTGAACAAGATGTTGGCACCTCTGATTTTGGCAAAGAATGCGGAATTTCGGGTTTACTTTTCACATTAAAAAACTCATTAATAATTCATGAAGAAAACACAAAGAAAAATCATAAGCGTGTCGTATCTGTATATGTGATACAGATTCATGTTGATTTACATAAACTTTAACTTTGATTTTCTCGGCTTAGACAACGTTTATTTTTAAAATTACTTCGCCAATAAACTCATAAGATGAGTCGTTTTTTAAGTTGTTTACAACATTCGCGTCCGTGTTGTATCAGATATACAAACTCTCGCCTTCGGCTCGAGTTTGTATATCTGATACAACACGGCCGCTCATGTTGTAAACATTACAAAGAGAACTGTGCATGCCATTAGAAAGGATCGCAAAAAACTATGTATGAGATATTTAAGCGAGTAATGCGAATTTCCAAGGGGGGTTTTGGGTTAAGGGAGCTCAAAGTCAGCAAAATAGCAACTATTTAAGACTTAAGTGAACTTGAAATATTGCTTCACTAATGCCTATGGCTATGTTCTGTGAAAATGTCAATTGACAGATCATAACAAAAAATGGCATCAAACAAAAATGCCATCATATCAAACATTTCGTTGCACCTTTTCAGGTTTTAGTTTAGCCGGCCGTCTAAATCGCAAATAATGAAAGCACGGCAAATGAAGCCAAAAATAATGAAAGCACGGAGGAATTTAGTCTCCTGCACAGATATTGTAGTTTTATACAGAAGTACTGCTTCTGACCGAGTTTTAATAAAAAGAATGATTCCTAAGAAACGCTAGATCAGAGTTGCCTGCGGAGGAGGCTTGAAGAAATCGGAAATTATTTCGATGTGATTTACAGCTCTCGTGACGAGAAATACAGCCTCAGAAAACAAACATTCTGTTTTCTCAGGCTACCTGATCGAATTAGAAATAGGGCAGATAATTTGTAGGCATGTACAAACTTATATACAGTTAGAACTCGGCATAAAAGAACCAGTGGATTAAGAACCATCAACCTGAAATTCAAGCAATTAATATAAGCATCTAAAAAATTAGCAGGATGACAAATGCATCAGTCCGGTTGTTAAACGATCTTACGAAAACATTCTGTTGTTGGTAATCAATGACAAGGCGTATTACAACATATATACTGGGGGGCCATTTGGTCCAACTGGTTAGTGAATCAGACTGAGCCCAACCTTAATCTCATGAGTGACCCAAATCATACTCTGCAGGGAAGCGCCCCCATGCACTGTAAAACAAGTAATGCTCAATGAAGATTGGGGTCATATAAAAATCAATTCAGAACCAACTTGACTTAATTTCTCACTAAGGTCGCTTTCTATTAGCTCGGCCAGACTGGTCAAATTGTTAAATGAAACCCAAGGTTTGGGCTTCGCACGAATCTGACCGGAAAATGTGGATTAAATTAGGCGGTCCATTTTCGCTAGATGTTCGACTGAGAAACCTGTGCCAGATCTTCCCATTATATGGAGACAGAAATTCTGGTCTGACAGGTCTAGCCATTAAATGGAAAGTATACCCATTATATATAAGAACAACTTCAACTGGCAAACAATTAAAGTGGTTCTTTTATGCGATCTTTTATTGTCTAGCACCATTAAAGTGGACGCAGTAAGGACGACAAAATATATTTGAAGTTTTTACTTTTTACAAACAATTATAATTTAATTTATTGTACTTCGATAAAAAGCACTTAACAAGTTAATGTATTGTATATACGATTAAAACTACATCAAAAAGTTCAAACTGTCATTTCAAAATAACTATCTCAAAAATATATTTTTGCTTCTATTCTCTACAAAGCAAATACTATTGATAAGATTACATGCATTCAAACATCTCTCGTGTAAATTACTTTAAAGATATCAATATATACCTATAGTTGTATTTAAATTCGCGTCATAGCATCAGAATACACCCTTCCGCGAGAAGTAC